TCGGAGGGTCTGCGGGGGGGGAGGGAAGGGGGCAGCTCTGTAGGAAGTGGGGGGGCGTCCAGGGAGGGGTCTCCGCCCCAGCCGCCCCCCACCCACTTTGCAGGGACCGGGGGGGGCGCAGAGAAGGCCAGGAGGGGCCCAAAGACCCCAGCAGGGAAAGGCAGGCGCTCTTCTCCAGCGGGCGGGACTACACCCCCCATCATCCCCTGCCCCAAGCACACGCCCCCGCTCTGTTTCCGCGCCTCCGCCCCCACCAAGGCTCCAGGGGGGGGGAGCGACGCCACCCCTCCCCCCTCCGCCCCTCTGCCCCGGAGGCCCAGGCGCCCCGGCGGGCGGACTCCAGAGCCCATCGCCCCCCGCCGCACTCACCGGCCGCCGCCGCCGCCTCTGCCGGGCCCAGCCGGGGCTGCCCGCGCGGCGCCTGAGGGTCCTTCGCGGGGAAAGGGCGGGGCCAAGGGGGCGGGGGGGGCCGAGAGAGAGAGGAGGGTCGCCGCTGCCTTCGGGGGGTCCCGTCGCCGCCCCCCCGCGGAGTCCTGCGAGGCCCCGCGCGACGAGGTGGCGGAGGGGTGGCCGCGGCGGTGCCTTAGCGGAAGGGCTAGCGGTGCGCATGCGTGGAGGCGCCTCACCCCCCCCTCCCGGGAGCGGAGGGGAGCGGCGCTTGTGCGCATGCTCTGGGCTGGGGAGACACACGCGCGCGCTCCTGTCTCTCTGCTCGCGTGGAAAGGCGCCTGTCGCTCCCGGAGCCCCCTGGAATTAATTCTCCCCCCCCCAAAAGAGTGGAAAGGGCTCGCCCGCATCTGGAGCATCCCCCGCCTTGGGCCTGGGGGGGGCCCTGCTTGCTCCAGAGGGCTGGGATAGAGCGCGCCTGGCTGGGGCAGCTCCATTCTCCCTGCAGGATAAACCCAGCCGCGCCCCCCCCCCCCCCCCCCCGCAGGCGAAATGAAGGCAAGAAGCCCCTTGGGTTAAAATCAAATAATCTTTAATAAAAAATAAATTAGATTTGGACAGGGGGGAAAAAAAGGAAGGGGACAAACAGGTGGACAAAACTAGCCGGCATACATTCAGCTTTATCATAGATACTTCTCTCCATATAAAATATATATTTTATATATATATATATATATATATAAAATCTGAACACTCTGTAGGGACCGTTGCTATGTTCTTACTACTTAGGTCAAAGGTCTTCCAACTTGGCAACTTTAAGACGTCGTGGACTTCAACCCCCAGAATTCCCGAGCTAACACAGCTGGAGGAGGAGGAGGAGGAATTCTGGGAGTTGAAGTCCACAAAGTCTTAAAGTTGCCAAGTTGGAAGACCCCCGATTTAGGTTTTAAAAGCCACGAAGGGGAGGGGGGACCACTTTATAGTTTATAGGTCCAAGAAGGTACACAAAATCCCCTCTTTAGCTTCTCATTTTCTGGGTGGGGATAACCAGGTTTTCCGTCCAGCTGCTGTATCTTTTATGTTGCAGCGCATCAGACTTAAAAGGAGGTTTTAACTGCTGGATTTCAATTTAGAACAATGTATTAATATAGAACAATATTAACCAGTGGAGCAACTGGCCTCCAGAAAGTTGTGAATGCTCCAACGCTGGAAGTTTTTAAGAAGAGATCGGACAACCGTTGGCCTGAAATGGTGCGGAGCTTCCTGCCTGAGCAGGGGTTGGACTAGAAGACCTCCAGGGTCCCTTCCAACTCTTGCCATTCTATTCTAATTCTAACTTTAAGGACTTGCCGGATTTAGCAGCGCTGCAGGAAAAGGGCGGTTTCCGTTCTAAAAAGACACAGAAAAGCGATGACGCAAACGTAACACAACGCATCCTCTTTGTAACTTTTCCTTTGATAAATACTGTCATTTGTCTACGTTCTTTTTGGTTTGGGGGGGGCGGGGTGTCTCCAACCTTGGACTTGTGGACTTCAACTCCCAGAATTCCCCAGCCAGCTGAAGTCCACAAGTCTTAAAGCGGCCAAGGTTGGAGACCCCTGGCTTAGAAAAGCAAAAAACGCACAGCACTTTCCCCCCTCCAAGGCAGCATGAAAAAGGCACATCGGAGTCATTCCTCTCCCCCCGCCATCTTTTTCGCCCTTTTACGCAATTGTGGGAAGGGGAGGCGAATCTCCGGCTGAGAGTTTCTGCATCTGGAGCTGCAGGTGTTTCTTCCCAGAGATTAAAGTTTGCAAATTCAGGAAACGGTTCCCAGGACGGACCCTCGATAGGATCCCTTCTCGGTGTGTTTTCTTGTTCTTATTTTCCCTGAATCTTTGTTAAGAAGAACTTTGGTGTGTCCAGGAGGTAAAATCAGCAGCAAGAATATAATAGACGTCCGGTGGTTGGCCTCACGAGGTGCCCCTGGAGGTGAGGGCCCATGCCGCAGGCGGAAGGGTGGGAGAAGGGTTCCAAGCCTTCCAGGTGCTCTGAACCTCCATGGGCCACAGCCGGGGGGAGTTCCGAGGTCCATGTGCCAATCCGTGCCCCATTTGCTCTGCACTCTTCCCTGCCGCTGGAGAGGAACCAGTGCAAAGCTTGGCTCCTTCTGTGGGGCTGTGGTTATGCCCCCCCCCCCACAAAGACTCCCTTATGGGAGATAGATGCTAGTGGGCCAGCCGTGGTGCGGGGTTCGAGTCCTGGGGCGAAGCAACACTTTCCCAGGCTTGGGCTCCTTTCGTCCTCTCCCCCGTTCGAGCGAGCAAGGGGGCGGGAGGCGGACCCCCTCGGCCTCATCCACGTGTCGCCTCCAGCGCGTGTGAGCAGGAAACGCAACAGGCGGCTTTGTAGTAGGAATACACACACAGCCGGGCTTGCACGATCACCGCACAGTTGGGGTACTTGTCCCGGCAGCTCCCATCTGCCGGAGGGAAAAGGCAGAAAAAGAGGAGGGGGAGAGTCTCGGGGTTGCCCCCCCACCCCCAGAGGGGACAGGAGAGCAATCCAGACCCGGATCCTTGGGAAGGTCCCTTCCCCAGTGTCAAACTGGCTATAAAGAGCAGAGACGGGGCCCGCTTGCTCTGCCTCCTTCTGACCCCCACTTTCCTTGGGGAGGGGGAATGGGGGGGCTGCGGGGGGGGGGGCTTACCAAGCGAGGGAAGGCAGGGCTGGCTGTTGCAAGGGCGCTTGGTGGCCGGTTTGAGGTGGGGGAGGCAGAGGGTGCTCAAGGTCTTATTCTGCGTCAGACACTGGGCTTCTCTCGCCTGGACGCCTCCCATGCAGGACCTGGAGCACTGCGGGGGCAAAAGGAAACATCGGGGGGGGTTTAAAGTGCCCCCCCTCCCCAGTTCTGCACCCTGCATTGATTATTGGGGTGGTAACTAACACGAATCGGCGCTTGGGGTGCTGTGGGGCTTTTCCTGAGCTGGGCAGAGCGGGCTTAAGGAGCTTGGCATGCAAGGGGCTTCGTTCCCCCTCCCCCAAAAAGAGCCTGCCCTCCCACCCCCCCTCACTGTGCTCCAGGCGGTGGAAAACCAGCGGGCCTCGCAGTCCGTCCCGGTGCAGGGCTGGAGAGAAGGGGGCTTCTCCAGGTGGGCGCACTCGGAGGCCTCCGTCACACTGAACCGCGTGCCCTGCTTGCTGACACAGACGATGTCGCGCCTCTGCGTCCCAGGGCCACACTCAGCTGAGCACTGGGGGAAGAGGGCAGGGGTCACGGGGGTCCCTGGGGCGGCAGAAAGCCTTCAGAAGTTCCACCATTCACAATAGAGCTGGGAGGGGCCTTGGAGGTCTTCTAGTCCAGCCCCCCTGGCTCAAGCAGGAGACCCTATCCCATTTCAGACAAGGGGCTGTCCAGTCCCTTCTTAAAATCTTCCAGTGTTGGGAGCACCCACAACTTCTAGTGGGCGGCTGTTCCACTGGCTAATGGTCCTCACCGTCAGGAAATTCCTCCTTGGTTAGTTTCTTGCCTCGCCTTCTGGGGCTTTGGAGAACAGGCTGAACCCCGGCCCCCTCCTTTGAGGCAGCCGCTCCCATGTCCCCCGGCCAAAGGAAAGCCAGTCCCTGCCGTGGTGAGTGCAGTTTGGGGACCAAGGGAGGCTGGACGGAGGGTGGGGCCCAGGAAAGCTCGGCCGGCCCTTACCGAGCTCCAGGGACCCTTGTACCACCGAGTCACCCGCTGGCACGGCCCTCCGTCACAAGCCCTCATCTCGGCTGGCTTGGGAGTGGCGCAGTCTTCATCCGCCTGTCCGTCCGCGTTGCCGGAGAGGCAGACAACCGAACGGCGCTGAATGCCGGTGCCGCAGTCCGCCGAGCACTGAAAGAGAACCAACCGCAGGGATTTCAGGCCTCGCTTCCCGTTGGCGATTTCCCAAATTTTCCGGCAGCCGCAGGAACCGAGTAGAGGGAAAGAGGAAGAAGCGGAGGAAGGACGTGGATGTTCTCAGCAGCTTCGGGGGGGGGGGGCTGAGGATCGGGGGCAAAAGGGGGGGGTCTGCCTTACTGTGTTGCTCCAGTCGCTGTAAAACCAGCTCCGCACACAAGGGCCCATGTTGCACGGCTCGGTGCTCTGCGGCCGGTGGATGTCCGGGCAGTCGGTGTCCCTCAAGAGCTCTCCGTGGTTACTGACACAACGCACGTGGCGGGTACGGTGGCCTGTGCCACAAAGGACCGAGCACTGGAACCGGGGAGGGGGAGGACAGGAGCAGGGAGGCCAAAAGCCACGGCATTAGAAGGTGCAACCCCCAAATTCTGAAAAAAGTTCGCGCCTTTTTAGCAGCCAAAAGCAGAAACTCCTTTTAACGGCCCGTTTCCACGGGGGGGCCGAGGAGAGAAACCGGGGTGCACTTTCTTTGTTGCCGTTGTAACATCAAACGGCAACTAAGGAACCGTTGTAGGCCAAGAACCACCTGCGGGACCTTCTCCTTGCCCTGGAGGAGGTAGAAGGGGGGGCCCTGGGGGTGGGGCCCCCGCTCAGGTGCCCAGGGCTGGCCGAGGCTGGGCACAGAACCCCCCACTTCCCCCTCCCCCCTCCTCACCGAGCTCCAGTTGGACTGGACCTGCCAGTGGCTGCAGAAGAGCACTTGGCAGTCCTGGGTGGCCGCCGGCTTCTCCAGGTGGCTGCAGCGCTGGGGGTGCACCATGGTGGTGCGGTTGGCGTAGATCTGCCGGCAAAGGACCTGGCGGTGCTGCGTTCCTGGCCCGCAGGATCTGCTGCAGGCCGACCACCCGCCCGCGTCCCAGCTGAAGAGAGGAAGAAGAGGGAGAGAGGAGCAAAGGGGGGGGGGCTTGCAAGGTGCCACCACCCTGAAAATGGCTTCTATTTAATCCCGTGGCTCCCTCGGGCCCTCGGGCCCCCGGCACGTAAAGCAGCGGGGAAAAGGATTCCGGACACAGCGCTTCCCGCCGGCTGGGAGCAGATTCCGCGGCTCACCAATCCCAGCCGGGTTACAGGGAAAAGGGAAAAGTGTCCGCAGGGACGTTGAAACCGTTTCCCGGTCCCCAGAGGCTGATCCGCTGACCGGGTGGCTGCCAGGTGAGGCCCGGCTGTTGTGCTCCAAAGACCCCGACTCAGAGCGTCCCCAACCCAAAGCGCCCTTACAGGTCTCTGGGCCGAGATCCCCCTGCCTGGCTGGAGGGCGAGGAAGAGGCCCCCGGGCACCCCAATCCCTCCCACGGGGGGGGGGGGAAACCGAGGGAAGGGGGGGCGGTGTCTCACAAGGCCGGGCAGGGATCCGTGTTGCAGATCTCTTCCTGCCCAGGCGGTTTGGGGACCGGGTGGCATTTTTCTTCCCCGACTTCCTCCTGGGAAGCGCGAGAGACGCAGCGGTAGACGGCCTGCCAGGAACCTGAAAGGAAAAAAGGGAACCGTCCAGGGCTGCCAACCGTCACACGGGGGGGGGGGGAGGTTGGCTCCGAGCAAAACTTTTGGGGGTCTCTGCAGCCCCCGCCCCACTCACCCTTCCCGCAGGAGGCCGAGCACTCTGTGTTGCCGAGGCGCCTCCAGACAAACTCCTGGCCGGGCTCGGAGGGGGGCCGGGCGGGGGGTGGGGGAGGCGGCAGGGGAGGCACCCGGGCGCTGCGCTGCAGAGTCTCCAGGCTCCTCCGCGATTGGCTAGCTGGGACAGGAGGGGGAGGGGCCTTGCGGGGGCTGCCCCATGAGCCGGAAGAAGGGGTCAGCTGGGCTGAATCCGGGGGCCGCCTGGGGGCCGAGGGCAGCTGACGTGCCCGGCCGGCAGGAGGCTCCACCGCGGCCGAAGCGCCTGGGAAGAGAAAGGAGGTACCATCAGAATGGCCGGCAGGCGATCCTCTTAGTAACGTGGTTGTTAAGTGAATCTGGCTTCCCAGAAGGTCACAAAAAGGGATCAGGTGACCCTGCAATCGTCATAAATTTGAGTCAGTTGCCACAGGTCTGAATTTCGATCGCATGTCCACAGGGAGGCTGTTAAGTGTTGTTAAGTGTGAAAAGTCACTTTTTCAGTGCTGTGGTAACTTCGAACCGTCACTAAACAAACCATTGTATGTCGGGGCGATCTGTATTAAGTTCCAGCGTCCGACACCCCCCCCACACCCCCCCCCAGAAGAACTGCAGAGCTGGAGTGAACTCTCGGGAGTGGGCAAACCTGAACTCAGACCCGAAAAGTGGGGGAAAACTGCTCACCAAACTCCTCCAGAGGCCTCGGGGCATTGTGGTGGGCACCTTCCGGCTGAGCCAGCAAGAACTGGTAGGACACTCCGGGGTTGTCTTGCTGGAAGATCATCTGCGGGGGGGGGGGGTTGGGGGGGGGGCAAGGGAAGGGGCCCCCGCCCCCCCCCCCCCCCCCCCCGAAAGTCCTTGTGCCACGCAGACCCCATCCGGAGCGCCCCCCTACTCACATACAGATCTAGGGCCTTGGTGGTGGGTCCCTCGGCCGTCAGGAGCTCCCCCTCTTCCCGGTCACTGTAGACGAAGACGGTGCCCGCTGCCTCGTAGCGCCCAGGGGGGTTCACGGCCCAGTTCCCATTGATGACCGATTGGCCGTTCTGGGTCCGGAGGGCTGGGGAGAGGGGGGAGGGGCTGGTGTCATTCGACGCCCAGCCCCGCTGACCGCGGACCCTCCTCTGGCCAAGCCAGCCGGGCAATGCCAGGAGACCCAGAGTGGCCTGAGCAAACGTCCGGGAACGATTCGGTGCGAGCGGAGAGCCTCCTCCATCTTGGACCTACCCAGGTAGTTGGGGCTGCGGGACATTTCCCGGACCTGGATCTGGGCGGCCCCCGCCGGGATCTGCAGGATGCGGTGGTAGCCGATGGGGACGTTGGTCTCGCTGTAGTTGCCCGACACCAGTTTGCAGGTGGTGTGGTCTCCTCCGCAGACCCCACACTTGTCCAGGGTGCGATTCGAACCCAGGATCCCATCACAGCCAGGGGTCTGCAAACAAACGGGGACGGAGGAATGGGGCGGGGCCGGAAGTAGACCCTCTGAGGATCTCTGGTCCAGGGGATTCCCTCCCCTCCCTCCCCGAAAGACCCTTCTTCCAACCAGCACTCTGGGGGTTAACAGAGTTGGAAGGGGCCTGGCCGGTCATCTAGCCCCACCTGGGTCCCGGCTGGCATCGCTCCATTGCCCAGAGGCCGAGCTACTCACGAGGCATTGCCCGGCCACGCAGATGTCCTGGGACGAGGCCTCACAGGGGGTGCCGTCCTGCACTTTCTCCGTGTGACGGACGTAAAAACGGTAGCCGAGGGGGCGGCAGTTCAGCTCGCAGCGCTGGGAGCCCCACACTAGGAGATGCCCAGGAAGGTGCCAGTCAGGAAGGCGCCACAATTGCACCGATCCTGTCTCAATCCCTTGCAAGCAGGGGCACTCCCAGCACGCGCCAGCAGAGGGCGCCAGCACCGCACAGCTACATTCTCTGAGATCTGGACAGGGGGGGGGGCGTCCCTATAAGGGGAGGGGGGCACCAGGGTCCCCTGAGGATTCTGGGAGTTGAAGTCCATAACTCCCAGAATTCCTGAGACATTCTGGAAGCCGAAGCCCGCAAGTCATCGAAGGACCCTCGTTCCCCACCCCCGCTATAAGGGATTGCGGGGGGGGGGGGGCCAAAAACTAGCAAAAGCCCCTTGTAGGATTATGCCTCTAACCCCCCCCTCCACCCAGGAGAACACCCCGCCCCCCCCCTTGGGCCATACCTGGCCCCTCCTGGGATGCAGCACCTGAACTAAAGCCCCCAAGCAGTTCAGGGAGAGACAGAGGGGTGTCTTGTGGAACTCACCGCCACCAGAAGCCAGAAGCAGCAATGGAGGGAAGGGGAAGGCCACCTCCTCCAGCTGAGCCTCCTTTCCCCACCCCGGGGGTGGGGGGTGGGGGTGGGGGGGTCAGAGGGAGCAGGGGGGAGGCCTTGGGGAAAGGACTCACCGTCCGTGAAGGGCTCCCACTGGTAAAAGCGTCCCATGAACTCCTGGTCGTTGTAGGCAGAGCACTGGACAGCTCGGGGGTCCGGCCGATCCGGAGGACACGGCTGCGGAGGAGGAAGAGGAAGGAAGCTGAGAGCGGGTTGACCTTCCCACCCTTAGCCTGCCAATCCCCGCCCCTCCCCCGGTCACCCCAACAGCAACGGTCAGGGGTCAGGAGGTCCCGGCCGGGAAGGGAACAGGCTGTGCACCATGGGCCCCCAGAGCTCACCTGTTGCCTGCAGGCCCTGAACTGCCTGCTCTGCCCTGGGCAGTGGAAGGTCTCGGTGCCGGGGGCGTAGAGGTTCCACTGGGGGGGCTCCGCCTGGGCTCTCCGCCCCCCAGCGTGCAAAGGGACGGGGCTGCCCCCGTGGAGCAGCCAGAGGTCAGGCTCGGCGGGGCCACGGGGCGCAGGCTGGTCCACAAAGAGGTGGGGTGAGGGTCGGGGGCCACGGCCACTCCCCCGAGGCTGGTGCTGCCTCTGGTTCCGAGAACGTCCCCGGCTGGGGGGCAGGTGGGGGTCGAGGCCGAGCCTGGGGGGCTGTCGGGGAGGGCGCCCCTGTGTGGCCCGTGGACTCGGCCCCCTCCCGGGCCCTTTGTCTCGGTCCTGGGGGACTTGGGGGGCCTGGCGCGGGTCGTTTGGAGCGTGTGGTGGGGGGCTGCCAGGGGGAGGGGGTCTTCGAGAGGAGGAGCCCCCAGCAGGAGCCAAAGCCGCTTCCTCGGCCAGGCTGCTCCCGCTGGCATGTGGCACGGAGGGAGGGGCTTCCTGGGGTGCTGGGGGGCTTCCTGGGATGCTGCCCGGAGGGCTGCTGGGGGCTGCAGAGTCCCCTCCCCCAGAGGGCCTGCTGCTCCGCCCCGTGGCCGTTCCAGGGTCCTCGGGGAAGGCGGCTCCTTCTGCTGCAGGCGGAGTCTGGCCAGGGGTCCAAGGGGAGGCTGAGTTGGGCGGCTCCTTTTCGGCTGCAGGGAGGAGAGACAGGGAGGGGGCGGAGGGGGGCTGGGGCTCCCCGGTCTCCTCTCCGTGGTGCCGCTTAAAACGGGGGCTGCTCTCTTCGGCTGGCTCCTTGTGGAGGGGCAAGGCGAAGGGCACCCGGCCGTAGCCATATTTGCCAGGCTTGATGCTCTCTCGAACTCGGGACCTGGAAGGCACAATGTTGGCCAAGATGACAATGCTGGAACAGAAGGCCGGGGTGGGGGGGGACACACACCCCATTTTCCCTGGAGATTCCTCCCAAAAGCCACATCAGACCTGAGTGAGGAAGCTGGCGAAGTCCCAAAACTGTGGGATGATTGGGGGGGGAGGGAGTGGCACCCCCTTCTCGAGTGCCCGGAGGTCAGGGAAACTTCAGTGGGTCCCACATTCACCCCCCCCCAAAAAAAAATTGGTCCTGACCCTCACCTCCAGGCTGCCTGGGAGTCCGGAATCGGAGACGCTGCCCAGCTGAGTGGGTGGCCATCAGGCCAGCTTCCTCGGGGCTCTTCTTCCTGGCTGGAGCCCCCATCACGGCCCCCCTGACTCGCCGGTTTGTACAACGGGATTACTTTCTGGGCAGGGGTCCTGGACCCCCCACCGGTGGGTGGCCTTTGGGGCCAGGGCTGGCCAAGGAACCCTTCACGGCCACGGGGGGGTCCCCAAGATTGCGTGGCCTCGAAGAAGGGGTTGAGGTCCCTCAGAGGTTTGGCGTGGGAGGCGGGCAGGGCTCTGTCCACAGCTGTCCTGGCCTCCTGACGGACATGGCGGTTGGTGGAGCCGTGAGGGTTTCCCCCGTGGACGGACGAGGCCGACCAAGAGGTCCTGTCCGAGCGCAGAGGGAAAGCCGGCCACTGTCCGGACAGGCGAGGTGGCCGGTCCCTGAAGGGGGGTCTCTGCTGCTGAGCGCCCGCTGGCGGAGGGGCCCCGTCTGTCCTGCCAGCCCAGGGGTCCCGCTGATAAGGGGACTGGCAGCTCCGGGTCCGTTCCAAGACCCCCAGGCCGCAGGGCTGCGAGCAAGCGGACCACGATCCCCAGCTGCCCCAAACGCCGGGCACCCTGCTTCCCACGGCCTCTTCCCCCGAGGTCTGCCGAGGTGTCCTTGGGGCAGCCTGCGGGAAAGAGAGCAGATTGGCAGCCCCGGCTCAGCCTCGCTCCTCCTCCGTGGGGAAAACCCTGCAAAAGTCAGCCCCCTCCCCGCTTTGCTCCTCCGCCCTCTTTTGACCCGTGGACAGAACGTGAATTTGCAGCAACATCCCACCCACCCCCATTGAGCCTTGAGGACTAGCAACTGAGGGCTTTTTACACCCAGGGGTTGAAAGGAGGGTGGCAAGTGGACAGCCATTCTCTCTGTCTTCCCAGCAGTTTCCCCTCCTCTCCCTTCCACGCCAGAGTCCTCCCAGGGGGGGCTGGGTGTCTGTTCCCTCCTCCTTCTCCTTCCTGCCCTCCCGAGGTGTCCAAGAGGCATCCCAGCTGGTGGCCTTTGGGGCAGGTTCCTGGCGGGCTGTGGCGTCAGAGGCGCGCCAAGAAGGGAGCGGGGAACAAAAAGGGCCGACTTTTCAGCCATAAAAGGAAACAATTAACCAAACGGAGGTGATTTTGCTAAGCAGCCCAGCCGGGCAGAGTTTTGGGTGGGTGGGAAGCAAAATACGAAAAGTGCCACTGGTTCATGAGGTGCCAGGGAATTTTTCTTTTTATTTCTTCTTATTCCTTCCTTTCCTTCCCATTCAAGTCTCCCTCCCTCTCTCCCTCTCTCTAGATATCTCTCTCTTTTTCTGTTTCTTCCTTCCTTCCTTCCTTCTCTTTCTTTCCATGTTGGCTGGAGAATTCCAGGAGTTGAAGTCCACAGGTCTTAAATTTGCCCAGGACGGACAGCCCTGCCCCAAAGTCAGATTGTTAAGGGCTATAGAGACTTTAGGATTTTAAGTGTATAAAAAGGCTGTAAATCTTTCCAGTCAGCTTGCCTCCAATGCAGGAAGTTCCACCTTCCTCTTATGAATTGCCGTTGGGTTGCAACTGCCTACTGGCTCTCTCGTACACACGCAAGAGAGATTTACGGTTTAGTTGGATGATGTGAGTGATATGAGTGATGTGTTTTAAAAAGAAACGCCTCTTTAAAAGAGGAAGGGTGAGAGCCAGAATCCTAGGATATTTAGAAAACTGGGTGCACTGAGAGAGAGAAAAAAATATTTCTTGGCCTTTAAAAAGACACAGTTAATCCGCAGGATAAAGCCCGAACTGTAAACTCCCTGGTGGCTGTCAAAATTTGTCATCTTCTCAGTCAAATAAACTCCAAGGCATAAAAAGGTGTGCAGAGAAGTAAAATGGAAGGGGAAAACTTTTAAATAAACCTCAAGGCCTTTTCCATACGCTAAGCCCTCCCTTTCATTCCCTAAACCATCGCTAATCAAAACGCCAATATTTATTTTCACCACATACATTATGGCGCTAACGCAAACAGTCCCTGTCTAGCCACCGCTTCATTTTGCATCTGTTCGCAGTTACGATGGTGCTGAAAAATGACAACTTTGCATCCTCACTTTTAAACTTTCCCAGGTCTGCCAAGCCAAGCCAAGCCAGAGTAAGATCAAAGATGCGCCTTAACTTAGGGACCATTCTGCTGAACGACGGAGTTACTCGTCCCTATTGTTGTCGCTAAATGAGGACGGCCTGTCCTGTGTTTTGCACCAGGACCCCGAACAGTTCTTACTCGCGAGAATTTGATTGTGGAGGGGAAACTTTGGAGTGGGCCAAATTTTTAAGCTATGGAGGGCAAATGGATTTCTTCAAGTTTCCAGTCCTCAGGCCCAGATATGAGACGTGGTAACCGCCAGAGGCTTCAGCACTTTCAGGCGAGAAACAGATTTCGTTCCTTTGCAAAGGAATTTCAGGGCTGGTGGATGAAGTTGAGAGGGGCTACAGGGACCCCGCTTTTGATGGAGCCCAAAGGGGTCAGGCAGCACTTCCTCCCTGGGAAAACGCACGCACACATGCACGCACGCTTGCACACACACCCTGGTCCCTCCGGGCTTCTCTGCCAGTGGATGAGTCAGCCTCTTGGCCGGCCGTGACTCACCTTCTCGGAGGCCAGGCCCAGCGCCACCAGGGAGAATGTCAGCAAGAAGCCGGCCAAGCAAAAGCTAGAAAGGAAAACAGAGCCAGGATTGGATTCTTCAAGGCTGCCGCTGCTGGAATCCACCACGTTTCTTGCGGGGGGAAGGCAGCGGTGCCCGGCAAAGGACGTGGTGGCCAAACGGGACTCAGCACGGCTGCCTCCCTCGGCCTGAGGGATGCTCCGGGAGTAAAGCATGATGGGAATATCTCTACCTTTTCCCCAGCAGCAGATTCTCTCGGGCATCCCTCTGGGTTTCAGTCCGTCTTGAGGAGGGGTCTCCGAGTGGCCACTTTTAAGGCGGTGGGGGGGGGACTTCAACTCCCAGCAGGGCTGGCTGGGGAATTCTGGAGTTGAAGCCCACCAGACTTAAAGTTGCCAAGTGTGGAGACCCTTCATTTTGAGGGAGATAAGTAGGTGTCTCTTCAAAGCCCAGGAAGCACACGCACACACACACACACACACACACACACACACACGTGTGTACACTTGCACACAAAGACACAGCCTCAACCTGGGGGGGGGGGGGTGGATAACAACCGCCAGCAGAGTCTGTGCCACTGGGGTGTCAAAATTCCCACCAAATATGGCAGGTACTTGTCATCCCAAGACACACACACACACACCCGAACCTTGGACTGAAACCCAGGGCAGCAGAATATTTCTGCAGACCCCTCCCTTCCTTTCCAAGGGGGATGGGATTGGACCTCTGCCCCTGGCCAGGTTAAGAAAGGTTGTGCTTTTCACAAACACACCTCCAAGCTGCCTCTGTGGAAGAATCTCCACCACCTGAGCTTTCCAGGCAGAGGAAGTACAGAAAATCCAGTCCGTCTTTCGGTTTTTAGCAATGGAAAATGTTTTGTTTTATAATCCATCCCTCAAAGCCAATTTTTATTTTTTTCAGCCCTCTTAATTTCCCTTGGAGATGCAACCATCTCTCAACCAGGGAAAACAAAAGGCTACAAAAGCAAGCTTCTAGTCCTCATGGGGGCAATAAGTTTACACGTGAAAAAAAAAATGTTTTGAGAGCCACCCAGACTCCCCCAAACCCACCCTCACAACCCCCAATATTCTGCCCAGCCTTACCTCCCGCTCCGGCGTTGGCCTGCTGCTCCCATCGCCTCTCTGGCTGGTCTTGGCTTGGAAAAGGAGGGGCGGCCTGGTTGCGTTAAGGTCTGCCCAGCCCACCCATCTCTTCCGGAGTTGGGGAGGGGACCCCCCCCCCTTTCAGGAACCACCTTTCAGTCCCCTGAAAGAGCAATAAAGTTGAAGGCGTAAAAAGAGGTTGCAGGGCTAAGAGTCAATATCCGGAACCTGTAAAATGCTTTAAATATTGACCTACAGATTCTGCAAAAGGGAAGGAGGGGACGGGGGGGGGGGGGGGGGGGGTTGGGCAAGGGGGGGGGGGGGGGGGGGGTCTTTCTCTTAAAGCTTTTGAACTTTTGCTCAACTTTCAACCTTGCGCTGACCTTCCGAAAGGAAGAATCGTGACTCACCCGGAGATGGGAGGAAGGAAAGAGAGGAAATTAAGAAATTTCTCAAAGACCCAGGAGAGGAACCCAGAACGGCCTGGGGGCTCCACTGTGCAAGGAAAACCCCAGACCCCAATCTGGGGCCCTCCACCAAGTCTCTCTCTCTCTCTCACACACACACACACACACTCACAGAGTGTCCTCCTGCAGAAAGTGGCTGTTCCCCTCTCGGTCTCCTTCCCTTGAAATGGACCCATAATCCCCGGGCCCATCACTGGCGGCTTCTGCCCAGTTCCCACCCGGCTGCCCTTTGTGCTAACTTAGAGACTGCGCCCCTGATCGGGCTGGGAAATTAAACATCCCATAATTTGTTGGTGCAGGCCAGATTCATGGATGGCCTGGTATAAACAGGCACTGAGCGATCACTGAGCGATCCTTCAAATGCAGGATCAAATCCGCCCTTTCTTTAAAAAAAATAATAATAATCAGTGCCACACACACACATACACACGCACACACACACACCAACCAGTTTCTAGTTCTTCTTTCCATTCTCCGCTCTCTTCCTTTTGTTCCCCACCAGAGTCATAAAATATGATATATTTAATATTTTATAAACAAATCTATTTGGAGGGTCTACAGTGGCTGGAGCCGAAGGGAGCCGTCTGGTGACCTCGCCAGCGTTGCCATGACCGCCTCACTGCACAGTTTGGTCTCCCAGGCCTTTGTTTGTCCAGCCCGCTTTCTAATCTGTCCGGCGGTATTTTTATCCCGCTGGGAACCAGGCAGGGTTTTCTTACGTTGACCAGGGTTGGATGTCCAGGCCAAATATACCAGCCACATTCCTTGTTTATCTTTCCAGCCATGGCCCAGGCCGGAGTGGGAGGTTGCGTTCCAAAGGGCGCCCTTGCTTGGAGGGGTGTGGGAAGGGCGGCTGTGAGGGGGTCCTGAGGTGACCCTGTTCTGCAATCTCCCTGGTGCCCCACTGCTCACCCCACATGGGAACCCCACCCCTGCCCCCACCCAGACCCTGACTACAAGAGAATTAGGGGTGCAGGTGGACTGAGAGGAAGCCCCCCCAACCCCCCTGGTGTTATTACTGGTCTCTGTAGCCAATTCCAGGGAACGCAGCACAACAAGGCCAATATTTGGACCCACAAACACACCCTGATCCAGAAACACATTGCAATGGATGGATGCAGGACCATCCTCACGAGGCGGCTTGCATTCCCAGGACCAAGTTGGCCAGCTAAGGAAATGGGGGGATGGGGGTTTTCGTAATCGGGCGTGGCTCTTGCGAGGCAGCCGATGGGCCACCCAGGAAGGGGACCCCAAAGGTCAGGGATGCTCCTGAGCATCTGGGAACAGCTGGGCAGGGAGTCCAGGCAGGGGAAGGCCCCGATTCAGGGCCGGGAGGGACCAGCAAGCAAAGGTCCCGCTCTCTGCCCCTCCAAGGCCCCGACCCACACGCGCCAACCGTTCGCCCCGCTTCTTGCTTCCATAGGCGTTTCCTCTTCCGAGCCGCCGCCCCAGCACAACTCGGATTCCCTGCGCTGCGGTTGGAACTGCTGGCGAAGCGGTAGCGACCGCAAAGCGGGAGGAGGGCAGCTTCTGAGAACGCGCAGAGCGCCCGGGCGCCTCTCCAGGGCAGCCGTAGGGGAGAGACGCCGGGAAGGAGCGGGGGGGGGGGGGGGGGGGGGGGGGGGGGGGGGCGGGGGGGGCGCTTCTCTTGCTGCTAAAAGTCAAAGCAAACAACCAGCGGGTTGCAAAGCCGCCTCCTGCCCAGGAGGGTTTTCGGTCGAGTGAGCAGCTCCCTCCCTTCTGGCTCCCACAATTACAGTAACATTCCCCTCCGCTTACTTCATGATCAGCCGGGGGGGGGGGGGGGGGGGGGGGGGCGAGAATGCTGATAAACACGATTTAGCCTCCCTCCCTCCCTCCCTCCCTCCCTCCGCTTGGCCGGCGGTTTGGAAAGTCCGAAAGAAAAGGACGCGCTCGCTGGGAAAGGAGCCGGAGACCAAAGGAAGCGGCAACCGCCAAGGTTGCGCTCTCGGCCGGCGCAATTCCCCCTCCGGCCGGGCCAGCGAGCCAAGCTACCTCGCCTGAACCAGCGCCACCCTCCCTCCCTCCCTCCGCTCCGGGGCGAGTCTCCAGGCCGAAGTGCCAGCGCTCTTCCTCGCACGCACCGGCCGGCCCGGGAGGGAGGGATGCCTGACCCGCGACGCCTTCCCGCCCGTCGCAGCCTCCGGCCGGCCGGCCGCCTTTGGCCAACCTGGAGAAGCCGAGTCGGGCCGGGCCTGCCGGGGCCTGGGGAAGGAAATGGGCCGAAGTCCCGCAAAGCCTTGGACGGAGGGGGGGAAGCGAAGCACGTCCTGGAGAAAGTCACCCGGAGGCCAGGCAGGAGGTGCCGGCCGTTTCTCCAGCCACTGGGCGCCCCTCAAGGCCCCGGAGGATTCGCATCGGCCCCCAAAAGAGCCTTTCTCCATCAGAATCAGAAGAGAGGTGGAAGGGACCCTGGAGGTCTTCTGGAATGGTTTGGTTTCCTGCTTGAGCAAGGGGCTGGACTAGAGCGCCTCAAAAGTCCCTTCCAACTCCGTTATTCTGTAAATATTGTATCTCCTAAATTGTATTGCCCACATGCCTATTCCCCCCCCCCATACATACATACATACACACAGACGGCTGATGCTCCATTTAAATTTGCACGTGTACCTCGGTGATTGGATGACCTCTGGATGCCATAAACTCAATAGATAAAACATAACAACCGAGCCACCTGCAAAGATCCTCATTTAAGGCTCTAAAGGCTCTACCAGAACAACTAAAATAAACGGAAATAATTAAGGCAAAGGCTTTTTCCAGAAACCCGTCAAACTGAGCCGATTAACAAGATGGGAGAAGAATGTGGCTGTGTGAAATCAAGTTACAACAAGGTTGGTTTTCCAGACAGAGGATGGGTTGCTGGCTGGATTTGCCTTGGGAAGGAGGGGTGAGGCGGGGTGGGCAGGGTGACACCGCAGAACGATCCTCCCCGCAAATGGAAAAGGAAAACATGGCGTTAGGGCACTTTGTGGAAAGGAAAACCAAGGTCTAGGCCACACTCCTGGCAACAGGCGGGGAGGGGGCAGATATCTGAACGGATCCCCCGAGGAATCCGGCTTTGGCCACACGGGAATGTGCTGGCCTGGATAATCCCTTCGAAGGCAGCCTGGTCGTACTACTCTGTCACCGGTGGAGATGGAAGGACGGAGCTGCCTCCACCGTCCGCTCAGCTCCGGTGGAAGACGTGGGCCGAGGCCTGCAGGACCTTCGCTGGACACGCGGCCAAGTCCGGCATCCTGGAAAGTTTCTGGAAGTCTTTTGGTGACCCCTGGCCAAGTTCAGCGGTTGCTGGATGCAGAACAGGATCCTCTATCCTGACCAGCTGTAGCTTTCCAGGATTTGGGGCGGGAGCTTCCTTGAAGCCGAGGAGGATCAAACGGAATCCCA